AGGAGCTGGCTCCACTAATTTATCCTCTTTAAAATAATGGGTTGCTTTGGTCTTGAGTATATTCAGCCTATATTTAAAAAGCCAGTGGTACCTCTCATCTTACATTAAAGAACTGATTGTGCGTGTGCGTGCGTGTGTGTGTGTGTGTGTGTGTGTGTGTGTGTGTGTATTCTTGAGATGCTCTCTTGGAGGAATAAAAAAGGATAAGCAATAGGCATCATTTTGTACATACATAATTAGGGTGGGACTCTTTTTGCAAGCATCAAACAGCAAAAATTGAAATTTCAGCAAATTATTTTGCAAAATAAAATGGAAATAGTAATATTTTAGCCTTGTTTGGAGATTCCGGTTTCTGTGCTGTTCCTGCTGTGATGTGTGTATTAAGTCAGCCGGTGGGGGTGGGGGTGGGGGTGGGGGTGGAGGAGCACGGCATCTTGACACAGCACAGGCTACACACGCACTTGTTCCTGAGAGGTCTGTGCAGGGCAGCTCCCCCTCTATTCTCTGCTGGGGGTGGGCATGGAGTGAAGAGGAAGGACTGGTTTTGGGGAACAAAGTTACCCGCATGACTGAGAACAGACCATCTCGCACATTGCTCGGAGCAATCATGAAAGTCTCCCTGATCAGGGTGCCTTGGAGCGCTCCCTGCAGCCTCCAGGCCTCCTGAGGGGAGTGTGGGGCCCCTTGTCACCATGTGTGCCCTGTGGGTCTCCCGGGGATGAAGCGCCCTGGGCCCAACCCCGTGTCAGCAGATCCACCATTAGAATCATGCTCTGGGCCGCTGGGACCTGTGCTGGAGAGTGGATCTGGGCACTGGGGGGACGAGACAGAAACAAGAATGAAGCTGGACACCTCTCCCCGCCCTGGAGCCCCACACCAAAGCGGCCCAGTTCCAGTAGCAAGGAGAACTTATAGTTAGGACTGAAGGGCAAGGTGGGGCCCGGAGGTCTCCAGAGAGCCACCGCTTTAAGGCTTTTTGGAAGGGGGTGCCTGCTCCCTGGTGCCAGGGGTGCCAGCCACTGTGGGGCCCTTTCTTGGATGTGCCTGCGCTCGGATGACAGCAGAACCAGACTCTGGACAGAGGCAATGTCACAGCGGCTGGGGTTTGACAAGGCAGGGCCCGCTCAACCACGACACACGTTTTCTTCTTATTTATTAGAAGCGTTGGAACAAAGAAAAAGAAAAAAGCACTCGAGGAACTTAATTTGTAAAGTCCACACCACAATAAGGAAAACTGAACTGTGTCCTAAAGAAAGAAACCCTCCCAAACGTGCGTTACGTCACGTCTCTTAGTAAACATGAAAGACACAGAGAATGGAACACATGGTTTGGCAAAGCCTTTTTTTTTTCCTCACACAAATTTCCCACCACTGATGGGTACAGCCCTTTTTTCTTAACCAACGTGAAATATATTTTGATCGGTTAAGTTTATTTCTGCAAAGTAGAGTAGTTTGCAAAATAAGCTTGTAGTCGCTGAGGGGGTGAGAGCCACGTAGCCACGGCCCTGTCCCAGAGGCGGTGGGCACTGCCTGGAGGATTTCACACCTCGAGGTGTGCCCCCTGCTATCTTGAGTCACTAAATTCCTGACGGTTAGCTACCAGAATTAATAAATCAAATCACTTTGGAAAACATAAAGTTTGTAAAGTAACAGATCCCAACTTTTCAGAACGCCACTGGAGCCACTGGGTGGTGATAGGTAAGAAAAAGGTCCACAGTAACTTAGTGAATAGAAAGTATTCATTTAAGAGGAAAGATGCAGTACCAAAATCCAGGAGCAGAAAACAAATCAAGCTTTCCATGGAAAAAGAAGAGACATTTACACAGTTCCACTTTCAGAGGGGATCTGAACAAATAGCAGAAAGCGTTTCACCCCCAAGAGCCCACAGTGGAGCCCCACCCTACCTAAAGTTAGCCCTCCAAGGGGGTAACCCTGTGACAATGTAAGGGTGCAAAATATTGCTCTCTGGCATATTCTGAAAATAATATAAAAATAATTTCTATAGTACAGTTTAAACTTGGCTTGTAAAATATCAACATAACAGCATAAAATCTACAAACAGAATACACTTAAAAACGCCTTCCTTTCACAATATATTATTTTTTAAAAAGTCATATACCCAGGTGACGCAGTTGCAGGAAGTGTGAAGCAAATGACTGAAATAACCTCCACTGGGGTTTAGAAGTATCTGGGATCCTTCTGGAAACTTGCTGTCACTTAAGAGACATCTGACCTTTCCAGAAAGGAAAGTTTGGCCAGGCCAGACCGGCTGGGGAAGGCGGCCCACAGGTGGGGCAGCTGCTCAGCCCGTGTCCAGGACCTGTGCCTAGGTGGGGCTCATGGCCTTTCTAGAATCGGGACTGGCCGTCTTCCTTTTCTCTAGCACCCCCAATCCACTTCCTTTTCCTCCTACTCCACAAAGGGCCCCCAAGTCACAGAAGGACATTAGAGGACCTCATGACCCAGATGTGAGAAACTCAGCAGTTTCTAATAGTTCCCGTCCAGCCTGATGAACTCATTTCGCCTGAGAGATGTCTGGCCTGGGACCAGGGCTAAAGATCTGTGAACACTG